CCGCAACACATCCGCATCCGTGTGCTAAGGAGAAAGCACTCCTCCAGAGCAGGCTGCAGAGTAGGCATTGCCATTTTGCGTGTCATGCTTTGCCCCGCAACACAATCGCATCAGTGTGCTAAGGGGAAAGCACTCCTCCAGAGCAGGCTGCAGAGAAGGCATTGCCATTTTGCGTGTAATGCTTCACCCCGCAACACATCCACATCCGTGTGCTAAGGGGAAAGCACTCCTCCAGAGTAGGCATTGCCATTTTGCGTGTCATGCTTTGCCCCGCAACACATCCGCATCCGTGTGCTAAGGGGAAAGCACTCCTCCAGAGCAGGCTGCAGAGCAGGCATTGCCATTTTGCGTGTCGTGCTTTGCCCCGCAACACATCCGCATCCGTGTGCTAAGGGGAAAGCACTCCTCCAGAGCAGGCTGCAGAGTAGGCATTGCCATTTTGCGTGTCATGCTTTGCCCCGCAACACATCCGGATCTGTGTGCTAGGGGGAAAGAACTCTTCTAGAGCAGGCTGCAGAGTAGGCATTGCCATTTTGCATGTCAGGCTTGTTCACTGACGCTGCCTATGCATTCGCGATTTCGTTGCACCAGGATAAAAAAAGTGTGTTCATTTCGCGCGCGGGTGGGGAAGGGGGGGGGGGCGGGTCAAAATTTTGACTTCCGAGTTGGGAGTGCGTTTAATATGCGAGTGAAAAAAAAAAGTCGAAATTTTGAGTCGACTTGGGGGTGCGTTCATTGTGCGAGTAAATACGGTAATCACGCCTCTCATTTTTTCATTTTATCGCTTGTCTGTTTGGATAGTTCTAGTTCACTCTAGATTTGTCATAGGTACTAGGCTAGAACCTTCCTAAATCTAGAGCATGTATAGCCGCAGCGCTCTGCACTGGGTCAGTCTTACGCTAGTGCTTATGTTGGCGACTCAAATGAGCACTTCACACCACGCTTTATGGCAGCCTTTCAATTCTAAGAAAAAAACAAATCAGTAATGGCTTGTTTGTGTTAACTGCGTCCCACTCTGTATATGCCGCCTTGAATACATAGTGGACTATCCGGCTATTCCGACTCTGAGACTCCTGACAAATCTGGGTATCCAATACACTCCAGGACAATTTGTTGAACTACCAGAAATAATTTAAATATACAGTTGACTTAATAATACAAAGGTCATGAGGACAAAGAGACACTTCGAATTAAGCATACTTCAAATTAGAAATGTAAACTCAAACCTTTTTTGTTGTTTTTTTTGTTCGATATTTACTGGGAGAAGTTTATTTTTTCTTGCCTTCGCCAATGGGGATGTGCAGCATTCCACTAACAGATAGGCACGGTATTAACTATGCTCTGCAAATTGAAAAACATTATCAAAAAGAAAACAAAATTTGCAATCCGTGGGGCCCCGGCAGGTTCCGCGTTAGCGACACTTGACCACTCTGCACTAGGGATGTCGCGAACCACCCTAGGTTCGATTTCGAAAGGTTTCGACATTTGCGAAGCGAACTGAGGTTCGATTTCGAAAAATTTCGATATTTTCGTACCGACCGAGGTTCGATATCGAAAAATTCGCAACTTTTGTCCACAGCAGAGTTTCGAATTCGAAAAGTTCGAAGCTTTCACGGTTTCTAAAATTTCAAATTCGAATGTTTCGAATATTTTTTTACTTCAGGTTCGATAAATTCGAAGATTTCGAAATTCTTTGTAAAAAAAATTCGAAAACTTCGAACGCTTCGAATTTTTATAGACATGAAGTTCGAACAATTCGAAGATTTCGAATTTCTTTTTGCATAAAGTTCGAAGGTTTCGATTCTCTTTTAACGCTAAATTAAAAAAAAAATAAACTTCGAAGGTTTTGAATATCTTTCTAATCCAAGTTTTCAAAGTTCGAAGTCCGATTTTCAAGTTCCTAAACAGTTTCAGTTTCAAAAAACGTTTTCACGTCTCACTGGTTTTCACAAAATCAAGTTGAGAGACGTTAGGGTGTCATATCTAGATTCTGCGAAGTTGGTCAGGCAATTAAATGACACGACGAGTGTCCCGGACGTGCTAGAATATTTGCCAGTGCAGAATTCTGACCGCCGGCCCCGGGGGGGGGGGGGGGGCGGGGGGCTTTTAACCTGCATCACGCAGTAGTGATTGCACGAACACACTATTTTACGAGACTCTTCCAGTTCGAAACGGCCAGGGGCGAGCAGGAGGTTGAGGCTCAGAAAAACCGTGAAGCGACCTGGCAAACTAGCTCGCCACCCCTTGCACGCTGGTAGTAATCCGATCCGGTGAAGTTTATAATTGTCCTGGAGGTTTATTTTCTGAGACGGAGGAATCGCCTCGCAAAAAGCACAAAAGCCGACACAACTCGAGGTCGAGGAGCGTTCTACCATACAAGTGGCGTCGGAAGAGGAAAAACGGGGGGAAAGAGGGTAGCGGGGGGGGGGCTTCAGCCTCCTTCTCCCCTTGCAGGTATTTCGGACTGTTAAAGAAAACAATACGGGGAAAGAGGGCGTGGTCGAGCTTATTTTAATCTGAAATTATTTATGCATATGTATAGCTAATGTCGCTCTTCACTGCATAAAAGGTTGCGTAGGTGGTCAAGGCACTGCTCGTCACATGCTTAGTGGTTCGGAAGTTCAAAGCTGTCTTTTCGACCTAAACACCTGTGCCGATAGTAACAAAAGAAAAAAAACAAAAAGAATAAATGCGGGAATAAAAAGCAGGAGAAAAAAAAAACTATCAAGAATTCGTCGGAAGTGTTCTATTCTTGCATATTCAGAGGTTCAGAACTTCAAAACAAGTTTCTTTTACCAAAATGTGTACAGGCTAAAAGAAACACGTCCCAGGAACGTGAAGCGAAAAAAAAAAAAAAGGTTTTCTTTTAATGACGTGCTGAACTTGAACACTACTAGAAATCTTCTCCCATGAGTTAATTTATTCCCTAACGTGAAAAAACAATAAATATATTATTTTGTATTCTGCAGTTGGCAATGATATGTAGTCTGTGGTGTTAATTTAAATGCCATACCTCAAACAACTTAGACGAAAATAAATATCAAGTTTAGGTCATAATTGCATGCAGATACATGTTTGGACATTTCTTCGAAACTCACGTTGAATAACAATAATCACACCTTAAGACGGCACTTACCTAGGCTATACATAGATCATTCTTAAAAAAGTATAACTTATCTACCATGAATAGCTCCGGCTGCAGCGTGCTTCAAATCTGGCACAAACGATAATCGTCAAAAACCCGTCGTCCTTCCTCGCCCCTTCGGGGATTTATTTTTTTAAACCTAAGCATGCCAGAACATTGAAATAAACGACATTGTCTTTCGTAAGGAACGCAGCACCGCGTGTAAAAGTTCGAGAAAAAAAAAATTACGAATGTACCCCACTACTTGAAATCAAATGAAACCGTCCGCCGGTCTTTCGAAGTTCGACGAAAGTCGAACTTTTACCCTAAAAGTTCGAAGTTCGTCGAACTTCTGACTTTTCAGAATTCGAAAGTTCGAAACTTTTCGAATTCTTTTGATAAATAAGTTCGAAAGTTCGAAATTCATCGAATTTTTTGGTCAGTCAAATTCGAAAGTTCGACAAGCATCGAACCTTGCAGCGCAATAAATTCGAAAGTTCGAAAAAGATCGAATTTTTTAGCGTAATAAGTTCGACGGTTCGAAAAGCGTCGACCTTCTTAGCTTAACAGGTTCGAAAATTCGACCGCCGTCGAATTTTACGATATAGACAATTCGAAAAATTGAAATCTTTCGAACCTTTCGAACCGCTTGATTCGATCATCGAAACTTCGATTCGAAAAAAGTTTGCGGCATCCCTACTCGGCACAGAAAGCGACGTGACCATTCTTATAGGCCTAACCACTTGCATGGCATGTCAGTCCGAAAACAGACTACAGATTACGACACATTTGTTGACATAAATATGTTTGATATACAAAACATCTCGTAGGGCTGGGTATGGCCTCAAAGTTTTGTACGGTGTACACGCGCTGCGCTTGTTTCCGGAGCTTTTTTGGCAATTACGCCATGATGCGCAGGAACGATGCTGTCATGCTGACTCGACTTGACTTAGCTTTGCATGGGTTATACACGGTCGATAAAAGTGATAAAGTCTGCACGGGTGCGATATAAACTTGGTCAGCATAATCTTGATGCTTTTTCATGCTCCCAGACTTGCCGGACTTCACGAACACATAAAAAAATCTTTTGAATTAGCCAGTCCCACAGGGTAAACATCCAATTGCTGCACATTTTTCTCGTAGACTTGTATATGTAATTGCTGGGACCATTCGCCTGCTTTTATTTAACCGAAAATTTGAATAAAGCGACTATGAATTATTGAGTCAACTGCATTCCATACATCAAGCGAGAATAGATCTACCATCTGACACTACTACTAAAGCCCATTTAAACTTCATTTTGGTTGTGTGTAACTCTACAGAGTCACCGTTATGATAAAGCTAGACAGTGCCTACCATGTATGACCTGATAGGCACTGTCAGTATAAAACAATCAAATTCCTAGTATGGTCTCTTAGTGCTTAAATGTTCACCATGTATGAATAATTATCATTTTTATTTAACGTGCCCAGAAACCACAATGGCTTTTAGACACGCATACCAAAATAGCACAAAACCCACGGAAGGAAAATTAGTTGTTAAAAGATGTTCAGCCTTTCCACTCTCGTGAAGAAGGAAGACCAGCGGAGCTGTACTCGATACACTGTGTGCTTCTTCGTCGTCGTCTGTTTTTCGCGCTGTCTCCTACGATGAATTTCCACCAACACGCCCAACTAATCATTCTTCTATTATAGCTGGAAAGGTTGCCGCCATCTACGAGCGACGGCGGAAACCATACTGGTTGTGTGCTTGCCGCCATCGCTTATAGATGGTGGTAGCTGTCCAGGTAGGTTTGTGTCGACATACCGGACACGATCTTGGGGAACCTAGCCCTTAACAGCTCCGCTGTAAAAAGCAAATTACCCAACAGGCAACATTTGATGGTAATCCCTATTAATTTATTATAAAGTACAATACATTCTATAAAATCACCGTCGACGTCACATCAAAGTCTTCCCTAGCACATACTTTGAATACCAGAGAAATGTGGTGGCTGCACTGAGGGAATACCTGGAAAAAGAAAAAAGTAACAACGGGATCTTAGATACATCGGAGTAATGCTGATAGGATGTTCACAATTAAACATTCAGTCCTTGAAATAGGGCAAAATATCAGTAAAAGCAATTGTGAATTTCATAAGGATAGCACCCAGAAATGTCTCTTTGAGTTTTATGCTTTTCGTCGAGGGACTAATATAAAACCAGAACCTCACATGAGAAAAAAAAAATATTACTAAGTTTAAAAGAAAGGGGGGATGTCCAGCCAAGCCCTGATTGTGAACCCTATGCTTCAATGCTTACTCAGCTCTTCTTCAGGAATGACAGTGGCAATGGCCGTTGAGGCACAGCACTTTAATGAGACTTTACCGAACAAAATATGTAATACCAAGTTTTAACAAGCTTTAAACAATTACACCGGATCGTCTCGCTACAGATACTTAACAGGTCTGGTGCTTGCGGTACCACGACAATGACCGGGCACCATTCGCAGCGTGAACATTCCCACTGGAGGGAGACGTGCCAGAGAAAAAAAGTGGGAAAACAAGGCCCCTCGACTGAGGCCAACAATTGCTCCTTTGCTTCCCACAGGCCAGAGGACTAGAGCTTTGCTTTTTGAGGTGCTTGCTCATTCCAGAAATGTAGCGTGCTCTTTCATTTCTCGCAGTCCGGCGCTTACCAGGTCAAAATGTAGGAGAAGTGCTCATTCCTCAGGGTGACCTTGGTTTGACCTCCGACAGGGCCCCCTGTTATGGTACTTGCTGCAAAAAGAGCACAGACTAATTGCAAAGGCACCGTGCAGAAACTACAAGCATCTCCTCTGTTAGCCAGATTGCATCCAATTTGAAGAAGATTTAACGAAACGTCTGTAGCCAGATTGCATCCAATTTGAAGAAGATTTAACGAAACGTACTGTAGCCAGATTGCATCCAATTTGAAGAAGATTTAACGAAACATATTTTGGCAAATATTTATGGAGCGTAAAGAAACCGAGCCCCAGATATATAACAAAAAAAAAATCAAACCAGTCTAAACTGAGATTTGTGTTTATAGACAAACAACTCAATCTTTGCACTTTATTATGTAGCAGACATCCACATCATGTGACATGCATTTGGCACTGCCTAAATAACATCTACAATTTTAATTAATGATGACAATTATACATTTGTTACATACTATTTAATTGCTAATGTAGTGATGTAATTGCTGCACCATTTGCACGAAACTGTGTGCCCTGCTACATTTCATCACATGAGGAGTTTTGCCAACATTGTGCCAAAACGTAATTTCACATTATTAATACTAGAAATTTATTAGCTCAGCTACCCAACAAAAAATTCTCATTAGATTCAATTGGAATTCTAACTGGTTTTAATTGGAACCAATTGGTTGTAGTAGGTTCCAATTGAAAGCACACTAACCAATGGGTCTCCCGATTTGGAAAACCTTTCCAGTTGGAACCTTAATGGGTACCAAGTGGTTCCCATTGGTTTCCCATGGCAGTGACCAATTGGTTGCCCGAAAACCTAACTGGTGCTAATGGGCAATTTCAATTGGAATCTAATGGGAATTTTCAACTGGAAGGCCCTGCTATATGGTAAGAGAGTGCAAATTTTTAGAACTTTTGATTATTGGCTCAAATTACATGTTATTCATTTGATCTCTGTATTAAACACGGACAGTACTTTGAAGTTTTGCACAATTTCTCATGTTCAGTCTGTTCTGGAGGTTAGCTAGCTTCGATGAGTGCACTTCTCACCCTGCACTGGTGTGCTGCAGTGAAGCGACAGCCACAAAGTAGGCATCACGATTTTGCACGTTTTGCTTTGCCGCAGCGCACCCGAGTGGTAAGGGGAAAAGCACTCCTCCAGAGCGGGACATGACAAACAAAGGTGTCGCTAAAGGGGCACTGACAGGGCATTTATGCTTGCCAAAGTTTTATTTGTACATGACATGAGAGAGCCCAACTACCCAGAACACAATTCGCGGCTCAAAATTGGTTTTCTTTATGCCTGAAAACCGCCGATCAAGAACTGGCCGGCTTGAGTCATGCTCACTCTCTTCTCTGTGGTCATGTGCCATTCTCTATGGTTTAGACACACACACCAAATATAATCAAAGTCGTGGGTCATCAAAAGCAAAGACTCAATATTAAAAATCGAAAAATATATCATATTCATTTTTTGTGGCTTCTAAAAAACTGCAAATATGTTGATTAAAAAAAAATGTTTGCAGAGAGAATTGGAAGCACTCTGTGCATTCCTGCATAGTTTTCAACATGGCATCGTATTGTGGGAGTCGAAAGCTGGACAGGTGAACGAAGTGGACTAAGCGATGACGGCGGATAACCGGCGAGGGACCCTTACTTCAGAACTGCTGTTCGCAGTACCGGTAAATGTCTAGTTTTCAAAGATAACTTTTTACCGATCAAAACAATTAAGATTTATTCCGTACGACACGCCCGACCACCAAGCTGATTTGCACGAAGGCTCCGACGAGTTGTTGCCCCTTTGCCTGGCTGAAGACATTGCTCGTCTTACGAACACATTGGCACAAACGTCAAGCACGAAGTGCCTGACGTTTGAGTTTTTCATGTGAATTGCGGCATCTGCAATTTTCGTCTGGTTTGCACAACCAGAAAAACGGAAGGAAAAAAAAAAACGCAGTTGGGTGTAGGCACGTGACTTCTGGCAACTCTCTCCTCCTCTAGATTTATTCCTCCTCAGTTCAGTTCGTTCCGAGCACTTGTTTTTTTACTTTATTAAAAACATGTGACACTGTAGCAAAAGTGGTTTTCAATGTCCCATAATATAAAAAAGGAGGAACCTAATGAGTGCTGATGTAACAACTCTACCTTGCAGGAAACGTTTATAGATAAAACTGTGGGCTAGTACGATAGACTGCAATGTTCTGAGAATATATTTCCCAAATTGGAGATTTAGCAAGGTTACTTGGGTACTGCAAGAAGAGTTATATATTGACTGCTGTAGTATTTGTGTAACCTTTCTTGGTTAGTCTCACCTTTATATAGGTTTCATTGGTTGATGGCACAGTCAATATAGTAAAGTAAAACTAAATTAGCTGAAGCAGAGGAGGAAGCTTGGGAATAACCCAATCTAGTTTGTATTTGTCATTCGCATGCCGATTCTTGTTATAAAGCTCCACACAAAAAATGTAATTGATGTTCAAAATCAAAAGACAAAAGATTTGCTTTTATCTGAATTAAGAATTGCACTTTCGTTATAACTTGAACAAAACATGAATTTGGGCATTGAAAATGAGTTCTTTCTGACATTGTTTTAAATACACTATTTGGTTTACCTTCGATTCTGTATCTAAAATAACCATTCATAGCATTTCATATTGTCCTTCATCGCTCAGTCTTATTAACCCGTGTCTGTTGCTTCTACACACAACAGTTATTTCTGTATTTGAGGAAATCAAACGTGGCTGTGCAACTGATGCAAACAAAAGGTTGCACAGAAGTGGGAAAGCAAGGTAGAAACTCTTCTACATGGACTAGCCAATGTATGAATCTTAATAGGTGTAAACAAAAATGATGTGTGTGCTTAGGCTCCAAAAGTTTTAAGGCGAAAGCCTTACTTGTCCCACTGAGCGAAAAAGCAGTGTCGTGTCCAAAAGATGGCCATAAAAATATGTCAAGCACATGCCGCTCAATCATATGATCAAGGACGACGCGTCCTTGAGGTTGTCCTAGATGTCGTCCAGTGGGCGTTGTTTGCAAAGTCATCCTCTAGGCGACGTCCTTGAGGCTGTCTTAGAGGTCGTCCTAGAAGTTGTCCTAGACGTCGTCTTCTAGGTGTCGTTCTTGACGTTGTCCTAGAGGTCATCAGAGTTGTTGTTCTAGACGGCGTCCTTGACATTGTCCTCGACGTCATCCTAGAGGTTGTCCTAGACGCCGTACTTGGTGTCGATCTCTAGGACGTCGTCTTGAACTTTAATATATGTTGAAGCGTTACTCGAAATCATTTCCCCTGCGGGATGATAATGCTTTCCTTTTCCACACGTAAACTGTCTTACAAGGCATTTATCTTTAAAAAGAAATATAAATGTTTAGGTGAAAAAAAAAAAAAACTCGCTTTGTATATATAGATTGTTGCAGTTTAAGAAAGAGCAGGTCAAGCTCCTTTCATAAAGTCCTTTACTCTTTCCACTTTAAAGGGATACTTCAACAAAAAATTTGAAATATACCTGACATGTTCACAAATAGGCTGAATGTGATCCACAATATCTGTAAATGACAATCGCACATCGTTTGTATTTCGAGCCTGATGGCTGTCTTTTTCTTAATAAAAGGCCCACTCTGGCAAACGCTCGGAGAGCAGTCAGCGGAGAGCACGTCATATCTGCCACAATCGTGACATAGTTTGTTGCGGGCCCGTGATACGCTTTCTGCGTGTCGCTGTGCCCTCTCTTCAAGGTCACGTGACATTCACACGGCCTTGGATAGGCCCTGATGGCTTGTAGCATCCGCTGAAAGCAGCCGAAGCACACCAGCAATCGGGCCACTGCAAGTATCCCCAAAGCTGCCTTTGTACGAATTTTGAGTGATGGGTTAATCTTCTATAATCTTCTAGAGAGACAATAGAGACTTCTGGGAAACACAAAAGAGAGTCTCGGGGAGAGGGGAGTTCCCCCTTCAGCTTTTTTCTCGTCGTGGCTGGAGGCGAGAGTTATCGTCACTACCTGTCAAGGTTCCTAGACGGGCATTACAAATGAGGCTTTAGCGACGTCCACCAGGTGCTCTTTGCTAATCGTTTAATTTGTTTCAAAATTCCTTTTCGTATCTTTTTCAACAAGAGATTGGTGTGTCTGATGTGATAATGTTCCCTTGAACACAAATAGACCAAGAAATAAGGGTCGAAATTTCGTTGTAGTATCCCTTTAACAGAGCAAACGCTGGAAAGGAGAAGAGTGGAGAGGGGGAACCGCCAATCAGGAAACCTTGTGGGAGGGGTTTGTTCTCCTTTTCTTAACCTGCAACGGACTATAGAACATGCACATGATAAAAAATGTGACTAAAATTTCAGGCTTAACAGCTTTCATCGCCTCCTCGACTGCCCTCACCCGAGTCAGCATCAATCAGGACGGGGGCCACGTCGAGGAAGCGTGCCATGCCTTCTATGTCCTTGTAGAGCCAGACAGTGCCGCTGTGGCCCTCCTTGGGGCCCAGGGGGGGTCTCTGCACAAACGAGCGCCATGAGGTACCATCCGCAAGTCAGCCTGCTCGTCTACTAATCACATCGTGCTTGGGTGATGTTTCCTTATTAGATGTCTTTTTTTTTCCTCTTTTGATCGGTACATATACGTGGTGTCTCCCCCCAAATTTAATAAGTGTTTTTCACCGCAAAATTATACTATGCAATGCTGAACGCTCAGTTTCCATTCATATCTGGCATTAGCAGTCTGGATCAGATGTCAAAGTTTCGGAGCTCGCCATTATCGCATTAAAGAGATTTTGGGACAAATTTAAACATGCAAATGGCGACCGACAAGGACCCACAAATACATGGAGATGAGTGGCGTCAGCTACCGGAAACGGGTTCCATTTTCTCGTTGAAAGTTTCAGGTCACGTGACCTTTGAATGCAATACTGGTTATTTCTGAAACTTTGGCACCTGGCCCGGAACGCTAGTGCTACATTTGGGTGGACGCCGTGTTCGGCAATGAGCAGTTTATTTTTGTGGTGAAAAAAACATTGTAAACATTTTCTGGGAACAAGTTGTACGAGCGGGCAATAATGCATTTTGCATTATTGCCCGCTCGTTTTGATAATGCAAAAGCCGCAACCAAATAATGACGCCCGCGCAGAAGCGGCATTCGACGCACAATGCTTTGGAATCCGTACGTCCTTGAAGCGGTCGTTGACACGTTGGTGTGAGGTTCGCTAGAGGCGACGGGCAGAAGCGAACAAGTAGCTCGTCTAAGCAGGGAACAATGCCAGATCAATGCAGTGCTTATTAAGGAAGAAGTAAAATCCTCAGCAATATATGCCAAGGTAAAACCACGGCATGGAAATTGATGGATATGAGCGCTTATAAATAGAGTAAGGCTTTCGAAGAAAAGTAACAATTAGGGTGCCTACACACACGCTTTGCCTAGGCTGGTACCACTCGAGAGTTCCCAGTCGCCGACAAACACCTGCATTGCCAATCCGGGACATTACCACGGTTACCCCGTCGTCTTCGTTGGCCCTGTTTCATGGTGATAACTACAGTCGAAAAACTACAAGTTGCTGGTCAGATGAGCCTGTAGACACACGGGTGGTAATGTTAGGTCACATGCTTATCAACCTAGGTAAAGCAAAGAGAAATGTGCAAAAACATTTATCGAGGCATTTGCTCCCATTAATGCGTGCGTTTTACGAGGCCGGCGGCCAAAGCACGCTTGACAGCGTAGATGTCCGAAATAGAAATTCAGAGTAAGTAGTGAATAAGAAAACTATTGCTCGAATTTCGTAGGTAAAAACCGAGACTTCTAGCCTGCAAGGTTGGGGCATGAAACAGCAGAGTAAAAAAAGCATTGAGCAATGCGACGACCACTGCACCTGCTGCATGTCATCCGCCGTCGGACGGTCCTACAGAAATGGAAGCAGCCGCACGGCATTGCGAGGATTTCCAGGCTGTCAGAAACTCGATGTTGCTCACGTTTAAGTTGGGGGAATGAGACAGAGTTGTGAGAGGATGTGGAATGAGGAATGGCACACTGGCAGCACCCTAAGCAAAGTGCACCTAAAGGAACCCTATTGTCTGCTTTAGATTAAAGAAAACAGCTCGAGCCCCTCCCTTAAAGCCACCTGCCCGGCTGGTGGTTTCCTCCTTTCCAATATTTGCTCTAAAAACTGAAGAGAGTGCAGAGCTTTGTGGGAGGAGTTTATCCTGCTTTTCTTAACTCTTCCTCCACTCTGTACATCGAGCATCGATCACACGTGATTGACGGGCACGGAGGCTGATTATAAAACTCCCATGGGGCTCCCGCACTCCATGGATTATCTTGTAGGTAGTTGGAAGACTACAGTTTTGGTTTCTCTGTTTCTCTTTCTGCACGGCAGTAATTTTTAAACCAAGCGTGAAACCAACGGCACGTCAGTTTTTGGCGGCCTTGGCTCCAAGGTCGCTACCACGGGCCCGACATGCGCTTGCAGGCGTGGCGATTCTCACGAATTCTCCATCAATTTCTCGGGCTTGGACAGCAGCAGTGGGTCTGACGAAGAAGCCAGGTCGTTATACTACTGCAGTTCTGATGACCTGCGCTTCACCCCATTGAGAAACTGCCATAGCCAAATGGCATGTCAGTCACAATGATTGTCTGTGTGTTTGGTAGCTCAAATTCTATTTGGGCTAGAACTCTGATTTATGCAAAAATCTTTATTGATAATTTTTTTTAAAATATATATTAGAGGCATAAGTCAGTTAGAACTAATTTCTGGAAAAAGATTCCGTATGGCAAATTAACCTCGACACTCACATCATTCCAAAACCCACTTATTTAGCTTAATTTCTATGTATGGCACCACATAGCAAACTTAATAGTGTCCTCAGAAAAAAAAAAAGCCACACCAAACAGGCATTTTTTTTAGCAATCGGGAAAGAGCTAACCTGCTCTTTCCCGACCGTGTCTTCCGAACAATGCTTGGCTGGACACCGCCATTCGTGCAGAAAAGGTAATGCAGAAATTTAAGTGGACAGTTTTGTCCCCATCCTCCATACAGCATGGATATTGCCCCATCATATTTTCATCTATCTGAGCCACTGAATGTCTTCGATCAAACAACCAAATAATTTTTGCAGAGAGCGCTATATGTGCGTCTCAAAATACTGGACCGTGGTTTTACAAAAACGCTAAATAGACAGTAACTTCTGACACGCTTCGTGATTTCAGAAATGGGATTCAAACTTGCGCCTGAAGAGAAGAAATTACTTGATTGCCGGCACCAATGAGCTCTAAAGAAGGGGAACTATGTGTTCAAATGCTGGGATTCTGCAGATATTCAAATTTTCTAATATGAGTAGTTTTGAATAATACGCTATTTAATATTCGCTTTGAGATGAACTACAATATTAACATTTTTCGAAGTATTGATCGCGGCAGGTTAGTCCTGTTGAGCACACTCCTTACTGAGCACCAGTGTGATGCGGAGAAGCAACACCTGCGGAAGCATGCTCCGCAGGTTTTTCCACGGTGCACAGGTGTTAGTAAGAAGCGTGCTCAACGGGGATAACCTGTTGCAATAGATATACGTTGAAAAGTACAATTATTGCAGTCATGTGCCTAGGATGAAAGTGCACTTTGAAGACACGGTGGTGCAGGTGTGCACCTTGTGTATTAAAAAAAATGCAAGCTTTCAGCACATCAATATCTATGCTGCAGTAAAATGTTTAAAATTAAACTCTGGCTATTATGCAAAAGTTTATGGAAGGCAGAGATGCCCTGACAGGCTGCATCATTCTTGATTGTCTTTGTTTCAAATTCAAGATAAAAAAAATGATTTGTGTGCGGCAAGATCTACAAATGTCCTCTATCAGGTATAGCTGGAATCTTTGTAGGTTTAATTTTATGCAAAATCTTGTTTACTTGCAATCCCAATGTAGGCATCAGACTTGCTGAGGCCACAGTTCCTAACTATCGTAAAATACCAGGACAGGGTTAGTGCCCACCCCACTTTCACTGAAAACAGGATTAATCTAGACATGAGCACTTGCACGGTCCAATCAGGCACTTAACATATAATTTATGGGATTCCCAAGTTTGGAACACGTTAATGGTGGTCGCGTGAAAATGGCACGCGACCACGCTGTTAACACGTGGTCGCGTGCCATTTTCTATGGTTTAGAAACAACCACCAAATATAATCAGTTGTGGGTCATCGAAGGCCCACACTCAATATTAAAAATAGAAAAGAAATATGATAGCTATTTTTTTGTGATTTCCAAAAAGCTCAAAGTATGTTGATTAAAAACAAAAAGTTGCACAGCCACATGACTCAGGTAGTCTTCAGACAACATAATGAATTGCCTAGCGAAAAATAAACAAAAGAAGTTTTGGGGGTTGTCAGTGCCCTTTAAGGTCGCAGCCCAGTATACTGACAAGAGCCCGTTACATGTCAAGCTTGTTGTTATGCCAGTAGCTTGTGACTGGAGTGAAGTTTATGCATTGTAAGTCTAGCGAAAAACTAGAATGTTTCCAACAAACTGGTTGTTATAATGCCCGAGTCTCTCTAAAGCGACAAAAACAAATGACAGCGACAAGCCTCGTCAATTTGCAGCATGCTCGCAATGGCACTTTTGGAAGGCGTTTAGTCGTTTGAAGCTCGTGAAGTAAGCACAAGTGACTGCAAGCCTGCCAAAGATACACTAGCATGCATGATGCCCATGTTTGAGCATACCCTCCTTTATTCTACAAAGCCTGTCAAATCGCAAAAGACCGGTTTGAGGCTTGTCACTGTCGTTTGTCACTCTAGTGGGACTCGTGCATAAGTGGAGCCGTTAAACTAGGCAAGTTGCTCGGCACATACTGACCTTCTCGGGCTTCCGGACTATTCCAGTCAGCTGCACCTCTCCCTCAATCTGCAGAAACAAAAGAGCACACAAAGCAAATCTTCAGACGAAAAGTTGGCCCCGAACCTTTTACGATACCTGCACGATACAGCGCAGTTTTAACACGGAATGTGTTATAGGGCTGAGTTTAGAAAAGTGACACATTACGATCAACCGACACACAGGTCAAGGAGCAATATAGCCCCATGAAGCTATTTCGCTCACATGACCTCGACATCGAGGTGTCACAACATCACGAGACATAACTTGATGTGACTTGACTTCAGGTTTGGGTGTCATGCGATGTCACGTGACACCGTGACAACACATAACCGTGTGACATCACCAAGATTGTAAAGCCATGTCATGTCACTCACACACACACAGCACGTACCCAGCCGATTCGCAACAGGTTCTGTGCATTTCCGAGTCTAGCAAATATGGTCGAGACACGCTTATTACCGACAACTGAGAGTGCTTGCCGGGACACTGACATAGATTCATATTTCAACAGCTCACCTGCAGCCAATGCTAGACGGCAGTTTATGAGCAAAAAATATTTGCCGGATTCAGAGGGGTAGTCCCTAATTGAAACTTACTCTTGGCTAGAGCACTGCGCGGGCCTACTTTTTGAGACCTGGCCCGGCCTGGGCCCACTGACCTTTATAGAATCCTCGATCACCCGCACCAGTGTGCCCCGGGGCAGCGAGGTTCGCCCCATTGTCTTCGATCAAGTGCACCGGTGCGCACCGGACGTCCTCGATCAACGGAGTGCACCCTCCTGGTATGGCTTTTCGTTGCCCCAACGTACACCAAGAAAATCGACGGTGCACCGGGGTGCAGTACCATGAGGCTTTGCGGCCAGGAGCGGGAATCGAGGAGATGGCGGGAATAGCAGACGGCGCAGTCTATCGAGGTGGCGACCTTGCGAAGACGAACATGCCTCGCAGCTGCACTCTATTAATTCCTCAGCTCTTCTGAGAGCGAGACGACGATCTTCTTACCATTGCCACGATTACCGTCGATTGCTGCGGTGGCAAGGAGCGCCCGAAAGGTATGAACTTCGTGGAAAGCGTTGCGAGGTGTTTCGATGACACTGAGGTACGTTCATTATGTGGTAGTTCTCTTTCTCGAACCACCAATAATGGGCAGCATATACCTGTGGAACTGTCACCCGCTTCGTGACCCCATCGACAATCACGTCCATGATGTTCATTCGTGTGGGACCGCGAAATCCACAAGTCAAAGAACACGGGATGTTGACAGCAGATGGGCACTGCGCGCGGACCTACGCAAGAAAAAACAAACAAAATGCGCGGTGACGCATGGTGGAATCTTGCCACGGTGCACCGCCGCGGTGCAGTTTGTCTTCGATGTTGCACCGACTTCGTGCTACACGACCGAGGAGCGCTGTGCACTGTCCAGGTTTCAGGGTGATTCCGGTGCTTGTTGATCAAAAATGCTATAAGTCTCACCTGACCTGGGCTTGGCCCAATGGGATGCCTACCCGACCAGGCCTGGCACGACTCGGGCAGTGTCTGATCATCGTACATTCATGACATATCTAGCTGTGCTGAAATTTTTTTCACAGCTGGCACTTGTGGCTGGGATGCACTGCCCTTTTTTCGCAAGTACTGCAAGTTGTGAAAATGTGCATTGATGAGACTGCCACCAATTTGCGAAAATTAAGGGCTCGCAAATATTAAGGGTTTTACAGTATGGTTTCAATGAGAAACTGACTGAGCATCATTGAAAATCACTAAATCGGTCAAATTTAGAACGACTTGAAGCATGTGGGAAACACTGGGGTGCACCAAAGTTACCACTCGTGCAGCAAACGCAAAGCTAGCGGTGGGGAAACGCAAATGGTATCATCTGCATTCCCCCCCCTAGCTTTGCGCCTGCTGCACGGGTGGTAACTTTGGTGCACCCCCGTGTTTCCCACGTGCTTCAAGTCGTTCTAAATTTGACCGATTTAGTGATTTTCAATGATGCTCAGTCAGTTTCTCATTGAAACCATTCTGTAAAACCCTTAATATTCGCGAGCCCTTAATTTTCGCAAATTTTGCGAATTGAAAAATTTGCAAAATTTAATGGCACGCGAAAATTTTGGTTTTTAAGAGTTTCAATGCAGGCGTCTTGAATGCACAAAATTTAGCGGCCGCGATAATGTCCTCTGCGACCAATTCGCGAAAAATAAGGGCCGCGAAAATAAAGGTTTTACATTAAGTTTATTTTCACTAATTAAAAAGACAATTAACAAACTTTACTTAACTACTCACAAGACTGTCATGCTTGTTCACCCCTCAAATGTCCGCTGAGCTCAACATACATATAGCAGTAAAAACGCCTTTTTTAAAAAAATCTGTTCTGAATTAAAAATATTACCATGTATATGGGACAAGGGGTGTACGTAATACACCCCCTTGTTCTGAGAGTGTACACCGATTTTTCCTCACTTTCTGGAAGCATTAGAAGCTGCCGAAACTGTGGGCACAAGAATGTTGCTACCTTATGAATATCTTCTGATTTGCAAGTTGCTTTCCAGGTGCTTTGCTCTGTGTCTTTGAGTTTTATGATCAGAGAAGAGCCTCCAGGCTTCACATGAAGATGACTGCTTAGTATGGCAAAGCACAACACCACCAACGGCAAGGTGGGGCGCCTATCTTGTTCCAGCTTGTCGCTCGACTTAAAAAGGGTTCCAAAGAAATCAATGATGTCCTCCAGTATAGGTTTGCACACCGCATCAAGCAAAGAGTTGCTTTGAGTGTAGAGGAGAGATTCAATGCCTTCGTAGTGGGTGAACACCGACTTGAGCATGGCCAGTTTAAGATTCCACCTTGTGCTCACATCTCGGTAGACAGCATCTGGCAACCGGCTAACAAGTCCACTTTGCTTCAGAAATGTCACCCCCAACTTCACACCTTTGATGTTTTTGTGCAAGGCGGGGAGCTCTTGTGTGACAAAGGACTCCTCGAATGTATTCTGGAGCACCCTATTTAAGATCCGAGCAATGCCGCTCATTTTTGTATAGGACCGGAGTGCATTTATATTTGCGCCTTGGTCAGTCACAAACACCATGTTGGCCAGGACGTCTTCACCAAATCCAAGTTTTGAAAATCCTCCGCACAATTTCTTTACGTATGTTTTCTCCTGTCTCTCTTTTAAAAAATTGCGAGTGAACATGACTTTGCTTTGCAAAACCCATCTTTCATCAATGAAGTGTACAGTCACGATGGTGTAGGATATCTTTTTAAAATCGTCAGTCCACATGTCGGTGGTAACAGCACAGCGACTTTTTCCCATTGCTGGTTCACCAATAGATCTCATGGTTTCCCTCATAGCTTTTGCTAGATCAGCGACTTTCCAAGAACAGTTGTGGGGAGTGGCAGTGCGTCAATCACACTAACGTGTTTTAAACGGGTGCCGATGCTTATAAGCTCGTCCGCGAGCTTCACAAAGCCTTCTCCCTGGACCACATCGAAGGGCCACACATCCTTTGCACATAACCCGACTCAAGACACTGTCAAAGTCTCTTTAATGCTTGCAGGAATGCTGACTTTGCTTGCAGCAAAAAAAGAAGTAGTGCTTGCAGATTCAGAAATGTATTACTTACATTTATTTTCGGCTCAAATGTGAGGTTCCCGTTTTGGTGCAGTCGTAGGTTAAAAAGCTTTGCAGTCACTGCATTGCACATGTTCCACCAGTGCTGACAGGGCTGGGTCAACAACTTAAAGAAACTGTTTCCAAATGTCACTCTTCATGGCGTCCTTAGCAACAAGCTTGAATTGCCCTGATGAAAGTCCTTCCTTCACCTTTCTGGAGTTCATTTTAACGGCACAAAATGTGAACTGAAGGTGGCATCCAGACTTTTGCAATCCCAAGGTGGTAAAATTATTCAAGGTGCAGACGAAGACCACTCGGGTCACGGTCATATCGCAGTCAGATGGTGAACCTTTGAAGGCTTACACAAATATAAAAGACGGCTTGTCTTCAGAAGAGTTTGGATTTGGGCTAGTTGGTTGAACATGTCTAGGGGTTAAAAGCGCTAAAAACGACGGACGAGTAGTGGTGTGTGTGTCTCCTAGTCGTCTGTCGTTTTTAGTGCTTTTAACCCCTAAACAGCTTATCTTCGGTAACCAGAAGGCGTTTTCTTTTTGTTGTTCTCTTCAAGAGTTGGAAAAAGAAAAAAGAATGACTTTTGTATTGTCTTCTGTGACCGGATTGCCCTCGGTTTCTGGGGGCAGCTGTCCCACTATTGGGACAGCTGACCCCAGGAATCCCCAGGATTCTTCTCTGTATCTTCTTGTGGGCGTTTTTAGTTCAAGACAGCTTTTTTTATTTCAAAGATTTCTTTTAGTGGCGTCATAGGGAGTTTGCACTTCAGCTTTTTCGTTTCTTTCAAATCTATATGCATTAGCATTTTCTTCTCAACGTTTTAGAAAGTGCACTACACCATTGCACAAGCCCGACCCGGGCTGGGCCCGGAAACAATCCGTGTTACCCTGCCCGGGCCGAGGGGCTATCGGAGCTATCCGGCCTGCGCCCGGCCGGTGGGCTGCGGCTGGGGGCCGACAGGCCGGCCGTTGCCCGGCCGGTCAGCCATTCCCACTCCTGGAATGGCTGAACCATTCCATTCCTCTAATTCCGCGAATGTATCAAGCGATGCACAGAGCTCATTATCATGTGATACATATCCAGAGTGCCGGATTTGCTGGGGTGGCTCGTAGAGTCCGCTGTGGCCCATCGTAAGGTAAAACAGAGTAGTGTAATATCCCGAGATATAGCCCACCTAAAAACAAGAGCAAACCGGGTGAAATAATGGAGTGGGCTAACTTTCGGTGTACAGTCAAGAAAACTTGAAAAGATGCTATTTTTAGGTTATGTGTTTTAGGCCAAGCTTGTTATCATGGCGAGGCAATGGAACAAAGATGACTCTACTTTCCAGTCCACAACATTTGCTTACATCCCACCATAGCTAACTAGATGCATTTACGCCGAGGCCACCTTTGATCCCAACATTACTATTACTACAAGTGAGCTATCTTTCGGTGTTTAAAAAACATAGAAAATCAAGCCAAAATAGGAGTGGGCCATCTTTTGGGAATGAGGCATCTCTCGGGATTTTACAGTATATAGGCACTTAGTAACGAGGCGTTCATCAGGGAATCAGCTAGAGGCACTGTGTCCCAAAAACGTGAGCAAGTCATGGCCCTCCGTGCCATAATGACGTAACAAACTTGCATAGCTGGCCCTGAGTGCCACTTATGGCACTCCGTGCACACCTTTGAAGTGAGAGGGCCTGAGCCTGAGAGGTGGGTGGCATTGCTTTGTCCTTGCCTGGCGGCCAACGACCGGTGCTCTGATCACACATGGTCTCAACAGCTGCTTTGTTGCGTCTTGCAGCGCCAGGAATGACATTTTGTATGCCTACAACTTTTCAATCGTGGGTGCTGCCACTTTCACCTCGAAGGAGCATGAGCCAGTCAGACAATGAAACCTTCGGTCACCTTAACTGCAACAATGCTGTTTCAAGGGCCACTTTGAACATTCGCCAGCGTTACGCCAGCGGGCTGTGGATCCTAGCTGAAGGTCGACACAGCTTGCGTAAGGACAGAAACCATTCCATTCCCGTTCCATCTAGAGCAAAAGGTATTTAAATTCATTCTCATTCCATTTCCATTCCATTCCGGGACTGCAGAATTGCGGAACGATTCCGGAATCCTTCCGGAGTGGCAACTTAGTAACAATGATGCTCTCGGCCTTGGGCAAAGTGGTGCTAAGGCGATCCCGACGTGACGAGTGCGACAACGTGATCAATGCAATTGACGAGCGAGTTTTAGCTGGGGTGACTACGCACATTGTGAAATAAATGTTTGCACAAATTTCTGTCCCTCACTTCTTTAAAAGTTCTCATAGGGGTCAACTGATACCGGTATCTTGCAGGAACGTGCGACTGCCATTTAACGCTGCTGCAAGCGAAGCATAACCCTAGTCAAAGACCTCATTTGTTTGTGTACAAGGGTGTACAATCGTCTCAGGATATGCAAAAGAAGGTAGCGCTGCCTTACCTGACCCTGTGCTCTGGACTCGGGGGCTGTCTTTGCTCTGGGTACCCAGCCCCGATTCACCAAGATGCTCACACTTTTAGGGAGGGTGGAGAAAAAAAAGATTATGACAATTTTTGTTAAATTCTTCATTCTCTGGAAGTATTTGTCATTACTGCATGATTGCAAGTGGGCAAAGATGGTTTATTTGCACTAGACATGTTTTTGTTTTTCTTTGGAATATACTCAAAGAAGTGAAGTGAACAAATAGTTTGCAATACATGTTTGCAAGATTAATGAAAGCTAAAGAACTGTCAGCTAAACCTATAACACTAATGTAAAGAAACTTGTAATGCAGCTAATTTCTTTTACATTCCTAAATTATTAGGATTGTGGGAATATTTATATACTAGTTTTGAATAATACGCTATTTGGAATTCGCTTCAAAATTAACTGCAATATTCCCATTTTTCTATGTGTTGATTGTTGCAAGTTTGGCTTTGTTGAGGACGCTTCTTACCGAACACTGGTGCACTGCGGAGAAGCAACACCCGCAAGGCTCCCATGGGTGTCGCTTCTCTGCAGTGCCCCAGTGCTCTGTGAGAAGCGCGCTCAATGGGGCCGATCGGCCGCAATCACCACTTAGAAAAATATGAATATTGCAGTCGCGTGGTTAGGAAAAAAGCACACTTTGAAGGTAGGGTGGTGCACATGCACACCTGGTGCATTTAAAAAGAAACTAAAACTTTGTGAATGTTAATATTTACATTGCAGAAACATTTTCCAAATTAAACCATGGCTACACGGTGCGCAAGTTCGCCTGCTCCTTGCACACCTCGGGCATTCACTTACCCCCAATCGTGCCCAGAGGCTTTTGTTTACCCCCGACCTTAACCGATGACGGCAGATGTTTGGCTGCTTCATCGTTGAGCATTCCCTACGCATACTCTATGTTCGTCTTTAATTGGCATGCTTTTCCTTGTGTTCTGTGCCGAAGACGCATTTCAGAACACTTTCTCGCAGTATTATGCAAGAATATGTTAGACAGAGATACCCTGACAATTTGTGTTAATAGTTTCGTGACTGTATCTTTAACGCGATAGCATTTAGAAGCTTGTGTCGCGGAAAATTCGGCGTCGGCAATGGTGGGACATAAAAATCTTATAATGCAATGCGCGGGGCCACGTGTGACGTCATGCGTATGACGTCGCAAGGGGTTCCCGTTTCAAACCATTGCCATCTCAAGCTTCCCGTTTGTACCTTCTTGTTTCGACCTGGCTTAGAACAACCTTCTCGCTTCATCTTCTTCCATTTCGTTCTCTCCCGAAACAACCCTTCTGCTTCACCCACTGCTCGTTATCAGTTCGGTCAGTTCAAGCGTTCAGTGTCTGTTGTCCTTAGTGACCACATTTCGCCTTCTCCCGAAACAACCTCGAAGATTTGAACAGCAGCAGTCATTTTTTGCACACTTTTCTGGTGTTTGTGGTGCCTACAGTGCTGCAAACGAGCAAAGCAGTTATCGCTTTCACCAGCGCAAGATGTCTTCATTCATGCTTGACTGTTTTGATGGCGCATGATGAATTGCCATTTTCCATTCATTGGTGGAACGACTACGGAAACTGAGGACCACAGACCCAAAACCACAATACGTCTTGGCACCGTAAAATAAACGTTGCGTCAGGGAGAGCTCACCCTAACATTTACAGCTTCATTGATCTGATCAAACGAAATGAGGCCTTGACAACGATACCTTTTTGAGGTATCGTTGAGGTTTTAGAACATGTAGTTTTTTTCATTTATATGCGCCATCGTTTTGCCAATCTCAGCCTTTCCAGTTTGAAGGAACGCCAACCCGCTTGCACATCTGCTCACTGCAGCACGTTTCGTAGGCGTTGGAAACCGATGAAACAGTAGTGAGTTTCAGTACTGCATATACGAGTGAAAGCCAGCACTGTGCGTTTGCATGAGCGTTGCGTGTTTAACACTGCACGTGCACGGAGCCCAAAATTGCAGTCATAAATTGGAGCATGGCGACGACACGCATACGTATCGTGGAGCACGCAATTCTAACAAAAAAACACACAGCGCTTGCATTAGCTTCTCTATGCAATACTAAAACTCTCTAATAGGGTACAATCCCATACTGGCTGCAGCACTACATTGAGACAGTGAAGAGTGGTTTCTGCATTTGAAAATGACATTTCGCGAGCCATGATCGCAAGCAGTTCCGCCATGCCTGCTGAGCAGGAGAACCTCGGGACCCTCACTAGAGCGCTTCCCGTTTCCGCCGCGGGAGGGAGAGCAACGAGCTGGAGACGCGAATAGTGCCGCATACTTGTACGAGAGGGAATGCTACTCCATACTTCTAGGAGATTCATGTTTACTCCTACCCCAAATGTTCAACGCCGTACATTCTAGGCCAAATGTTCGAGAAACCGAGCGTAGTAGATAAGGAGCCCAGCGTGACCTTGCTGACTCACTCTCGCGCTAGCCAGCTGTTACGCCGACACCTCAACGCTCGCAGCCGCTTTCCCTGCGCTCACTTGTTCTTTTTGACTGTGGCATGAGTTTGCTGATTAAACCTTTACTTTCAATTTTACACTTGTTGATTGTTTTCCATCCGCAACAGTAATAGTTTTGATGACAGTCCTGTAAGTGCTGAGAGAAAGACAAAAAAAATGACAATGGCTCGTTCGTGCAAACAGTGTCGTGGGATGCACGTAAAGAGGAATGTTGGCCACATAGTTATGCATCAGTAAATGGCTCGGATATTCTAAAATAGTGCTTAAATTGGAATAACGCTTTACTTCGATGCAGGAATGGTAAAAAATATTTGGGAACACGGGGAAGCCTCGAGGACTCTTAAGGGAACCACGAGGTTCCCGAGAACGACTGGGTTCCCAGGAACGGAGTTTGAGAACCCATTCTTTCCATAGCCTGTAGGCTCGCTTACAGCTTTACAGCATCAATACAGGGACCAGGATGGTTTCCTTGGCTGATCATTGAAAAAGAGGGGGGCATCCTGAAGGTCGGAAAGTTTGCGAATTCCTGCCTTAGAAGTAGCACTCACTCCCTGTCGGCGAGCTTGAAGGGCGTGATGACGAGGGCACCGGTCTGGCTGGAGGAGGAGAGCAATCCACCGGACTGCTTTTCGCTGTCTCCCGACTGGATCAGGGACCGGGGACACACGTAGACCTCGCGCGCATGGTCGAAAGTCCCCACCACTCGCACCCGCTGGTACTCCATCGAGGAGAGCTCCGAGAGGCTGCACAAAGAATGGTCGCCTTAAAGGACTTGGACAGCCAAAGTCCGGCATAATGAACCTCCATTTAACAAAATTTGCAACAAATTAAAGCGTTTCTCAGGTTTCTGTTACGCTCCAACTGAAGGCTGCACAACTTCACTATGTCCATTTTTGTCATTTTAGGGACACTCGAATGAACCTCCATGTTAACAATATTTGTGACAAAATTTCAGATTCCTTTTGCATTGTAACTGAAAATTAAACCACACCTATTTTATCCCTATTTCAGCAAAGTAGCTTTTCGAGGCAGTTTCGAGTTAATGAATACTCTGCTTGTTGGTTTATGCAAGTGGCAAACTACAATGTGAAATACAGGTAATTTTTTTAATAATTATTGCGTGATACACAAAGCTCTAACACACACTGCAGCTGATAACGTCGTCTCAAAGCCATTTTGGGAGTCCTTTCTTACAAGAACCCCTTTAGCCTAGAAAGAACCTAGAACATGGGTTCTCAAATGGGCATCCCCAGCCCTCATGCAACGGTCAAGCCGAGCAATAAACCTTTTTTTTTATTGATGCTGGCTGTACCAGAAGGTTATATAGGTCAATATATGTGTGCTGAGTGAGTATGGTTGATTACTCTCCGTTGCAGAGCTTCGAAGTTAGTTTGCATGCATTTAGTTTTATTTACCTTTTTGGCACTGTAATCGTTTCAATACCCCCCTCCTCCATTCCAGCAGATGGGGTCCACCATCACTACTGCCGATCCAGAAAGGGTCCCAGAACATCGGTGGTTGAGAACACCCGACCTCGAAACTCGGAACGCCAAAATTAAGCAACCGAGTTTTTGTCCATTTATAAGAGCAACATTAGGACCACAAAAAAGTGCTGGGTTCAAATTTTACTCGCTGGAGATTACTCGGCGGAAAATGAAAACTAGCGTAGGAGGGTTGCGAACCAGAAATTAGATTTTCACTGTAACAATTAAAACATTCTAGCAAACTATTTCTTTCCTTCTCTCCCTTGCAAAGCTCTCCACTTTTGCCGCGACGAATCTGCAGGACTCGAGCACATGAGCCAAATCCAACTCGCGAGTCAGATATGAGCGCCGCGCCACACCGACTGCGCCCGGTGAGGATCATTCTGTTGGCAAGCATTTGGGCCTGCGTTTGTGCTCAGTTAGTGCCGCCACAGAAATCGAGGGGCTATAACAATTCTTGTGCACAATGCATACAAAAGCAAGCTGCCAATCTAGGCACACGGCTGCGACGAACGTCGGCAGCATGATCCGGTCAAAAGTACGCTAGACATCTTGTTCCGGTTACAAGCCCGAAGAGCAGGCACAGAAGTGGCACGAGCTGTCGGGGAAGCTCGTCCCCGGTTTCCAGTCATTTATCCGCGGGCACCCAGCAGCTCACAGTAGATTGCGATAGTGATACCAGATGGTGCCTTAAGACTCCATAACATACTACTGCTTCGATTACGCTGTAAGTGTGTGGCACCATCTGTCAGCAGTATTGCGCACTAGAGCTCGAAGGTGCCACCTGGTACTACTATCGCAAACTACACCCACCTTTCGGGGAGGTCCACTGGAGGCAGCTCCGTCTTCCGACTCAGTTCGTCGATGAGCTGCAGCTTCCACTTGCGCCTCTGGACCTGCCACGTCCCAAGGGCGAACGTTGCCGCCGGGATCGCCTGGTTTGAAGAAGAAAGCACGAGGGCCGAGCTGAAATGCTTTTCAGTTTGCGTTTCACGGCGATGGCTGTTATGGCGACACTCCAGCTGCATTTGTGGCATCGGCATTGTGTTAGGCAAAAAAACTCCGTTGCGCTCGTACGTGCAACACCTTGTGATGCCGGGAAAAGTGCGTGGCTGTTGCCAGGCCGCAGTGTCTTTTCCTGCTTCTACGGCACATTCCCCACCATAAAACTCAATATGCCCGTACTACTACCATATGCAAAGCAACCCCCCCCCCCCCTTCCATAATGGTATTGAGGCGGAGACTCATGTGTTAGTGTTCCCTTTCCTACGGTGACCCCAAGGCTGTGTTGTGTGTGATGGAGTGAATATGCTTAAAGTAAGCGAGCAATGACAGCTATCGTTGTCATTCCTTTGCACTGTGGGTGAAATGCTGCAGATATTTTTTTCTCGAATTGAGATGCCTTTTTTTTTTTGGCCAATGTTTCTAGCCCGTTTTTTAAAATACCTTTTGAGGATTGAGTATGCGGCAGGGGCTCTGCAGTATTTGTACCCACCTAGGGTTACTTGGGCAGGACGCAGGGGGAGCTAAATTTTATTTTAATTAGAGCGGCTTATGCCAGATTCCCAGTGAGTGTGTGTGCAAAATGTTTCAGATACTTTTCTGGCACATTGTGCAACACTGCTAGTGCAGGCTTGACATTGGTGCATTTATGCATTTTACTACAAAAGGGTATTTGTGAGCACCAAATTTTGCCGCTAAGGTTCATACCCCAAATGAGCAATTTCTACCAGAGTAGCATTAATTGATAAACAACCACCCAGTTTTACTTAGAAAAAAAAAAGGGATTGCTTATTTGTGCTAACGCTAACAGCGTGGAAACCAGCACTTCTTGGTTTTCACAGCATTTCAAAGGAGCTATCATGAAAAGCCCGATGTTGAATGTTACCTGTGGCTAAACATGTCCATGATGCCATTTCAAACTGTGACCGAATAAGCAGGGGCATCTATCTAAATGTTTTTCATCAAATATAATCCAAGACAGAAACTGTAAAGCTCAGGCCGTCATTTCCATTTCTTGTTGAGGCATACGCAAAATGTTAGAAGTCTCCATCGGGTGCTTCTCTCAAAATTCCTCAAGACCACTGTGAATCACGATGTGTTCCGTTTGGAGTGCCATTCAAAAAGTGGTATTCGAAATTTGGTGCATTTTAAGATAATTTTTAACACCTTTGAATATTTGGTTCGACCGAGTATTTTACATCCGCCGAGTGTACTTTGTCCAAAGCACGCATGCACCGTGGCAAAATGACACGCGTGGCAGCAGTGTTGCGGGCATTGTAGTGACGGATGCAATTCCCTGCAGTGTAGTGAAGTGCACTGGCTGAAAGCCATTCTTCCAGAAGGGTTCTCTGCTGCACATTTGGGAAAACTTTTAGCACAGAATGTGTTTGGGGCTGGGTCTCATGAGAGAAATTACACATTACACTCAATACATACTATGGTCATCATCATCATCATTTGTTAAACCTTGAAGGCCCTTACGGGCATTACAAAAGGTGGGGGTATCCCGCAGTGAAGCATTTGTTGCCCTTATGCCTCGCGAGATGCCACACCTGTGCAACACCGTGTTTTCTCAAACAGATGGACACGCAAATATAATGACCAGTCTGCTGTTCAAGATGCCCCAGATTCGTAGTGGGGCTGCCGCTCACCAGGAGGGAGTAACCGCCAACTCCAATGTTCCTGGGTTGCCTGACGCTGCTCAGGTGTTGCTGTCTTCCTTGCGACGTCTCTTGCCAGTGCTTGGCACACTTGTTTGCAAAGCGGCCAATCTGCAAGCAGTTAACAGACAGACAATGAACATGCTGGAATCATAAATCGAGGGGCTCACTCGAAAAATACCCCGGAAAAATCAACGCCTGCATGTAACGAGCTCAAACTTTCACCAAAGGTGTATTTTAACATATTTTATCGTTACAAGATTTCTACGCGTAGCTCAGGCCCTTCTCGTGAAAAATTTGACTGTAATACTCCTGACATTTTCAATGGCGGACGCCGACGCAGACGGCCAAGTTGTGCGAGGATAGGGAGCCTAGATTTAAAAGAGGGAACAACTCAAACCATGGAGAGTTTGCGATTTAATGATGGACACCTCTTGCACAGATTAGCTGCTCATGTGCATGCATGCATTGGCACTTGGTGAGGAACATAGCAGGCTGTGAGGCTGAGTAAAGCTTAGACACGCTTGCAAACGACAGAAGCTCTTGCCTCCTCCTTGCAGCTTGTATGGCAAACACAGCTCAAAAACCGTGTGACCAGGGTTGATCGAGCAATCGGAAACATGCTGACACATAGTAGGCACACTAACCGAGGATTGTGCCTGTGGCGCCATCTTCCGAGAGACACAGCAATAAGCGTACGAGGGCATTGTCTGCTTTTAACCGACTGCCGCCATCTGCTTCGTCTATCGGGAGATGGTGCCATAAGCACATTCCACAAGTATAGGGCGTCTGAAATGCCCAGGCTTGATCTAAAATGGGCCGTAAAAATTGGCGCCTGCACGTATCAGTTTAAACTTTTCGTCAAAGGTGTATTTCACAGGTGGGTTTCATCTTGTAAAATTACAAGGCGTAGCTCCCTTTTAAAAAATATAGCAAGAAAACTTGCCAGGGTTAACGGCAGAAGGCGACACAGACGACCGAGTTGAGTGGCGGGACGCATTTGGCACACATATGAATAGATGGTGCTACCTGCTTGGCTTTAAAAGACAAAGACTGAAACTGCCCGTGGCGATTGCAGGCTATTAAAATGCACAGAATCTTTTTGTAATGTACCTTTGGTTTAAAAACAAATGCGGACAATGATAGCAAAACTTGAAAAAGACAAAAAAAGAAATTGCGGCTGCATAACAACGGAGCTTTTACTGCCGACGGATTTCGTCTGCGTGTTGTCTGCTTTCTTTCACTGGCCGGCTGTATCATCCGATGCCATCTAACAATATGTGTGCCTAACGTGCCCCGCCGCTCGACTCTGTCGTCTGTGTCGCTGTTTGCCAATGACCCTGGCAAGTTTTTCGGCCCATTTACAGAAAGGGAGCTACGCCTTGTAATTTTACAAGGTAAAAACCACCTGTGAAATAAACCTTTGACAAAAGGTTTAGATTGTTATGCGCAGGTGCCAATTTTTTCGACCCATTGTAGATCCAGCCTCAGCGTTTCAGACACCTTATATATAGGGTGTCCCAAGTCACCAGGCTCAATCTAAAATAGACCATAACAATCGAGCAATCTAAACTTTTCGTCAAAGGTGTATTTCACAGGTCGGTTTTTTCTTGTAAAATTACAAAGCATAGCTCTCTTTGTGTAAAAGATGGGGCCAAGAAACTTGCCAGGCTCAACGGCGGGTGGTGACGCAGCCGACCGAGTTGAGTTGCCGGGGGTGTGTTTGGTGCACATACTGATAGATGGCATCTGGAGCAGCGCCCGAAGGTGTAGCCGACCAGCGAAAGAAAGCAGACGACACGCAGACGAAATCCGTTGACAACAAAAGCGCCGTCGTTATGCAAACACATTTTTTTTCCTTTGAGTTTTGCTTTTATTGTTTGCATTTATTTTTTAATTAAAGGTACATTTCAAAAAGATTATGTTCATTTGAATAAACCGTGGTGGTTGCTAGCAGTCTCGTTCAGGAGGTAGCGCCATCTATCAATACGAGCGCCAAACCCACCCCGATACTCGACCTGGTCGTCTGCGTCGCCGCCCGCCTTTGACCCTGGCAAGTTTCATGGCCCTATTTTTTTACAAAAAGAGGGCTATGCTTTGTGATTTTACAAGAAAAACCGACTTGTGAGGTAACCTTTGACGAAAAGTTTAGATTGATACGCGAAGGCGTTGATTTTTATGGTCCATTTTAGATTGAGCCTGGTGACTTGGGACACCCTATATGCGATTTGCTCAGACATGTGTCGTGCACAACTTTTTCCAGATGGAAGTGTGTAGGTTTTCCTCCGCTTAATTATAGTTTACTCTGGAACGTTTTAAAAGAGTAAAAACAGCACAAAGAAGACATGGACAGAAAAGATGAACACGCACAGAGCGCTGACTTTCAACTGTTCACTTCCTGAAAAAAGACGCCCACCGTCGTGCCCACATACATACATCCAATCACATCCCATCACGTATGTCACATCATATCAACTGACCATTTCGTCAAAAACTGCTGATAATGCAAGTTCGCAGTCATATAAACAAATTGAGGGAGAGCTGACACACTTATCATTCTACATTGAAATAAAGAATGGTTCCGCAATCTCTCCAGTCGTCTTCTGACGATGCTTTGCAAGAATCTCGGTATCGATTAAAACAGGGGTGCACCCGCACCTATAAATGCAACGCCAAGTTTCCTGAGGGTGACAACTTCATCGAGCATGCATGCTCCCACCATCTGTTGTTTACACAGAGGTCGGAACCCTATATCCCTGGCTGTGTTAAACAGCATAAAAACAAGTTTGTTCCTTGCATGGGTGGGGTGGTACATTGTATTCCGCTGACGTGTAAGAAGGCATACGTCGGCCAAACAGGCTGTTGTGTAAACGACAGATTGCGGAAACATGCATGCTCTATGTAGCCATCACTGTCAGGAAACTTGGCGGTGCATTGTGATAGGTACGGGTGCACCCCTGTTTTAATCGATATTGAGACTCTTGCAAAACATCGTCAGAAGACGACTAGAGAGATTACGGAAGCATTCTTTATTTCGATGTAGAATGATATGTGTGTTGGCTCTCCCTCTATTTGTTTATATGACTGCGAACTTGCGTTTATCAGCGGTTTTAGGCGAAATGGTCAGTGAATATGACTTGACTTACGTGATTTGATTGGATGTATGTGGGCATGATGGTAGGCGTCTTTTTTCAGCAATAAAACAGTTGAAAGTAAGTGCTCTGTGTGTGTGTACACCTCCTCTGTCCGTGTCGTTTTTACGCTGTTTTTACCCTCTTAAAATAAAACACCAACTAGCCCAACTCACTACTGTGTTACACTTTGGAACGATTTTTGTCGGAGGGAAGAGTGACCCCTGGCCAACGTTACTAGATTGGCTCAATTACGGAACTGCCCATAGATGCTACTTGTACGAGCTACACCCCCTCTCCCCCCCACGGCTCGCTCTTCGTCGCTCGATGTGCCACCGCTTTTGGGAGACGGCTGCTGTGTTGACTGCAGCGTATTCTACGGAATATTTATGTTTCGAAGCACAGCATCTAGATCAGGGTGTAAGATAGACAGGTGGGGAAACGGCCCATAGAAGCCTACCGCAGCGCCGTTACCGGATTGTGTACTCGTCTGCTTGCGTGGGTACCCCCGATTTGCGAGAGATGGCGCTGCGGCGAGAGGAAAAAAAAAATGGGAATCGGATTTGCATGGAACTTTATGGGAGAGTGCACAAAATAAACCGAGAGCACGACAGTCCTCCATTAAAAATCCACGAGAAACCATCTTCGTCAGTTTAGCCAATCGCTACCAGTCGCCCACCTGGAGTGAGAGTTTGCGGTGCTCCATATAGATGGCGCCACAGAAAAAGAGAAAACCAAGGGGGACACAATCCGGTCGCTCATTTGGCTCTCGTTTCCCCACCTGTCTATCTTACACCCTGATCTAGATAGAGTTTCAGCATACTTTATGGAACACAGTTTTAAAACAAAAATCTGGATGATGTTTCAAATGGCGCGAGGCGGTCTAAAGGGAGTGAGGGGGGTACCTCTTCTGCGGGAGTTCCACAACTGGGGTAATCTAGTAACGTTGCCACTTGCGTCGTTGGAAGCTCATGAAGTAGGCCTTAGGATGCAGCCCATCTCCCTCTTTGCTGGCTGTCAATCAAGACGTCTGCTGCTGTTGTCCTTCTTGAAAACAAGAAAGGGAGAGAGGACGCGCCTCTCCACGCCTCTAACGACTCACTGACGTCCTTTGAAAATCGTGCTGTTTCGCGCAAGGCTCAATAGTTTATTTCCTCACAAAAATCAATTTATATATATATATATATATATATATATATATATTTTTTTTTTTTTTTTTTTTTCGTGTGCGGCATTATTTGTTTAGCAGGAGTCACAGACAAGAGCTAAGAAATGCGGGAAAAGGGCACCTTCACTTCTGAGAAAGAACTTTCTCACAAACTATCGTCGAAAAAGGTTGACAGAAAATCTCCAGCATTTTGTCGTCTGCCTCTCCCGAGGTGCCTTCCCGATTTCAACGGTTTGAGCAAACAACTTACTAAAACGTCTATCGCGTTTAGTAATGTGGCTATCAACTAAATATAATGGTTAAGAAAGAATGCAATTGTAAGGAAGTTAATATCGGCAGTTGCAGTTTCAGATATCTTACCGCTTTGCCGGTTCTGCTTCCCAACATGTTTTGCTCGTGGAATAGTAAAAAAAGTCAACTTTAGAAGTTAGAGCAGAGACAACTTCATATCAGCCAGAGCAAGCCAAAGGTTGTTAGTTTTTTTTTCAACGTTTCCTTTTTTAACATTTTATATAAGTTAAAAATCGCTTGGCAGTTTTTAAAAAGTAAAAATCTAGTATAACATAGATATATAGAGGATATAGAGCTAATACATTTAACCTGATCAAATAATCTGAAGTATGGACAAGGTATATGTACATCAACGAGGTATATGTACATGGGTAGCGAAGCTTCGGCCAAAAAGCGGTTCAAAACAAATCGCCAGCGACATCGACCTGGAGGGTCACGTGAAGGATGCGATTGAAGCGCGACTAGGAGAGGTGGGGACAAACATTATTAAAATTAATTAGTTTGTGACTAGAAGTATAATCATTGGTATTTTTAAACAAGCTAAATTAAATTATTAGATAATATCAATCATATTTAACGTGCAACAAAATTCAAAACTGTTTTTGTTTTTGCTAATATTATGCATACTTCTTATTAGCGTCCTCTGTACGCCACTAGCAAAAGGAAGTGCTTCCTCCGACGGGCGTCGGAGGAGTGGGACCTGTGTGCAAATCGTTCCTCCGACGCCGGAAGTGACGTAGTCGCGTCGGAGGAAAGACGGCTGTGTGGAAATCACTCCTTCGACGCCGGAAGTAACGTATTATCCCCGGCCCCGGATGTTGCCTTTGGGCGCGTTAAGTTAGTGAGTGGCTCCGGACATCTGCGCTCGAGCGCGCGGGTCCGGAGCGTAGCTTAACGGCGCACTTTCGTACCGAGGCGCCATCTGACGCCTATTTCTCTTTAACGTTTCCGGTTCCGGCTTTCCGGCGCGCGCTTTAACATGGCTCCCGTCTCGTCGAAATGTCGAAAAAATGTTTGTTCGTCGACGACTTCGACGAAATAAGTGCGCGGAGACGGCGGCAACAGCTTGTATTTGTGCTGCACGCTCTCGGTGCGGCGATCAAAGGTACGCCGAACGCCTTCCGAATTCCCAAAAAGAGTGACGGCTGAATGGCCGAATTCATTGGCTTGCCTGATCCTGAAATTGCGACAAGGTACATGAAAAACTTCGACAAGCATTTGAAGGATGTATGCATACCTTTCTACACCAGCACCACGCTTTTTTTTTTTATTTTCCACGATGACGGAACGATTGCACGAGCTGTCAAGCGATCGCCGTCGAAGTATCCACGCATCCAAGCAGGCGCGACTTGCGCGTCCGAGGGAGTCCCTAAAGGCTTCGGTGCAAGCACGAACGACGCCGAGAGTTCCGAGCACTGCATGGTAGCGCAGAACGAGCAGCTCCTACCCACGACCGGCATACCTCGGTGCCGTTCCTGGCTGCGACGGAGTCTTTCGGCCGCGGGGTTTCGTTGCTGCGGTCGCTGTCGGCGAGGCGAGCGCGGTGGCATCCTCGGAGCGTTCGGAAGCGAACTCGCTCGCCAGGGATTCTGCACACCCGACGCCTCTGGTCCAGAGTGGCCTGGCGGCCCGGCCCGGAGCCCAAAACGCTTGGGTTTTGATGTTTCTTCTGTCTCGTGTGAGACCACCGACCACCGCATGAAACCACCGCGAGTAACCGCGAGACTGGCCGCGAGAGCGGAAACGCCGTCAGCACACCGGAAACCGACCTGTTCGAGCTCTTGCGCACCATCTCCGACGACGGAGCTCGCGGAGCGCGCTCCGCCACCGTACACCGGAAGTGAGACGATGTCGTTTAGTTTAGCTCGAGTGCACTCTGACCGCTGGAGCGCGCTCGAGCGCGTTAACTTAACGCGCCCTTTGTTATGACATGAATGTGGCCGACCATGTGCGTCTGCCGCTGTGGCCGCTGTAGCAGTGTTGCCAGGTCTACTGATTTATCAGTAGATCTACTGATTTCGTTCCGGGTCTACTGATTCACTGAAAAACAAGAAAATCTACTGACTTTTTTTTAGTAACCATATTAAAATAGTCAATAATGATTAATAAAAAAGAAACATTTATGGTGCCATTTTAATTTGTCCTTCACAAACAATTATTCCAGAACCGGTCTTTTTTTTTTTCAATTTTATTTGTGTTTATTACTATGTTCTATGTCACTTTATACTATTTCTTCGAAGTGTGTATTAATGGAAATAGCAAAACATGGCAAAACACATATTTGGTAGAATCTACTGATTTTTGTGCAAATCTACTAACTTTTTGGGGATCAATCTGCTGACTTTTTTTTTCTCCGTCTGGCAACACTGCGCTGTAGTCTAAATATAAGCAACTAAATATAAATATAGACCGACACGCTGTTTACAAACAAGGCCGCGTTTGCCCACACTAGGTGTGGGCACTGCGCATGCGCAGAAACCGAATTCGAGTGAACTGAAGCGTCTGCGCATGCGCAGTGAGGTCGAAAGCGCCACCGCAGCTGCGTGACGTCAGGGACGCGTGTTGGTCTATAAGCAACTAAATAAACAACTAAATATAAGCTTTATCAACATGCAGGGGGGTAGAAACAGGCTAAAATGGGAAGAGATCGGGGAACAATTAGGGACAGAAAGTTCTACAGTCTATGGTGTCGCAGAAACGCATCTTAGGGATGAGGAGGAACCGCCCCACATACCAGGTTATTCTTGGGTGAGTTGCAACCGGAGGGCAGGGGAAAGGAAAGGCGGAGGCCTAGGAGCGTTGGTAAAAGGACAGGACTGGGAAAGGGAGAGAGAAGACTGCAGGGAACATTTATGGCTGAAGGGTAGGGTAACAGGTCTGAACACTCTTCTGGGGTTTGCATACTTAAAAACAGGAAGTGACTCAAGGGAGGAAAATTCACAACACTTTGCATGTATTTCGAAGGACATTAGGGAAATTGGCCTTAATCAGGAAATAATTATCATGGGAGACATGAATGCCCACATAGAAGAGTTTGATGGATTCACAGATACAACCGGAAAAATGTTAGAAGATTTCTGTGATGCCCTGGACCTAGTGTTAGTTAATGCACAAGTAAAATGCGAAGGGAAAATAACGTGGGAACGAAACAACTCACACTCAACGATAGACTATTGCCTCATGTCCCACAAACTGTATGACAGGCTAGAAAGTATGGAAATAGATGAGGAAGGTACAAAAAGCTTAGGGAGTGACCACAAAAGAATTAAGATTAAATTCGGTACATCTGAACCTGAACAAGCCCAGGAACGAGCGGGTAAACAAAAACTAAGTCAAGCACAAATTCAAAAAGTATCTAAAAGTATTGAGGACGTAGTATCGAAACAACCAGAAAAAGAGTGGACATATGAGGATTTAATAGGAATCTTTAAGAGAGAATTAGAGAAGCATCGAATTAAACAAAGAGGAAAGCAAAACCAAAGACACAAACCAAAAAGCTGGTGGGATAAGGAGGTTAAAGCAGCCATATTGCGGCGCCAAGAGGCATCTAGGGAGCATAGGTGGGCAAAAAAAAGGGGAGCTCTGCCAGCTGAGGTAACATCAAAATGGGAGAGATTCCAAGAGCGGAAAAGGGAGGCGTCAGCTTTAATACAGGCCAAAATTGGGAGGGCAGGAGTGCAGTGGATGATGGAAATAAATAAAAAAGATAAGAATGCGGCAAAAAGGTTTTGGGAGCACATTAAAGCACAGGGGAGAAAAACAGAGGATTTCCAACACTCGCTGACCACACAGGAGGGGAGAAGAGTGCAGGGGGAAGAGGCACAGGAATATATTAGACAGACAATCGAAAAGGCTTTCTCCCAGCTTGAGCAGAGGGGGACGGTGGATAGCACTGTCAGCAGCACTGTAGAGGAGGAGCAGAATTGTATAACAATGGAGACAAACACAAGAGAATGGGATAAGGCAGAAAGTAAGGTTCCAGCAGGTACAGCAACAGGCCCTGACAACATACCCATGGAACTCATAAAGACACTAGGAAAAACAAGCAAATTGAAGTTACGGCAGGTGATTAATCGGGCAATTATGAAAGGAGAAGTACCCAATGATTGGAAACTAAGTAGAATGAGACTAATATATAAAGGCAAAGGAAACAAAGACAGCATTAAGTCATATCGCCCGATAACGGTAACCTCAGTTCTTTACAGATTAGCTATGCAGATTGTAAAGCAGAAAATGCAGGAATGGGCAGAAGATACGCAAATACTGGGTGAGCTTCAAAATGGATTCCGAAGAGATAGAAGACTGGAAGATAACTTATTCGTCACCACTCAATGTATAGAAATAGCAATCAAGAACCAAACTCCGTTGTGGTTAGCTTATTTGGACATCAAGGGAGCATACGATAATGTGAGCCAGGAAATACTTTGGGGTCGGCTGAAAGAGTATAATTTGGATGCAAATTTGGTTAGGTTTCTGCAGCAGGTGTACACAGACAATAAGGTAGTTATAACATGGGAAGCAGAAATTACACAACCCGCAGCAATAAAAAGAGGGCTCCGGCAGGGTTGTCCACTGTCGCCTCTGCTCTTCATGATATATCTCAGGGAAATGGAAAAGAAATTAGAGCAGAGCAACTTAGGTTTTGATGTGAGTTATATGGAAGGAGGGAGAAAGGTAAGACAGGTAATACCAGGACTGATGTATGCGGACGACATATTACTTATGGCAGACAACCAGGATATGTTACAGGAACTAGCCGGCATGAGTGGAGAGGAAGGGGACATCTTGGGCATGAGCTTTAGTAGCGACAAATCTGGAGTAATGGTGTTTAATGATGAAAAGAGGGAACCCCTGCGGATACAAGACATTTTAATAGACCATGTAGAAAAATACAAATATCTGGGAGTCTGGTTCAATGAGGGAAAGAAATATCTAGAAGAACATGAGGAGAATATAATTAGAAAAGGGAAAAGAAATTCATCTATTATGAAGCTCAAGGCACTATGGAACTATAACAGATATGAAGTGGTCAGGGGTATATGGAAAGGAGTGATGGTACCTGGACTGTCTTTTGGCAATGGGGTGCTCTGCATGAAATCAGAGGTTCAATCAGGATTAGAAATTCGGCAAAGAAGCGTAGGCAGATTGGCACTGGGAGCACATGGAAACACACCAAATGAGGGAGTGCAGGGGGACATGGGCTGGTCGTCTTTTGAGAGCAGGGAAGCAATCAGTAAGTTGAAATTTGAACAAAGGTTGACTGAAATGGATGAT